CAAGGGAGGAGGCCAGCCAAGTTCCAAATAGGAGATAAGGTGATTTTCCAACCTTTAAACTTATCCATGATTAAAAGTTAAGTGTTTGAAACCTTAATTCTATGTTTGAATTTAGGTGCTTTTGAAAGTGTCCCCCCACAAAGGGAGTGATGAGATTCGGAAGGAAATGAAAGTTAAGTCCCCGTTTCATTAGACCTTATGACATCCTAGAGAGGATTGAGGCGGTGGCTTACCGTTTAGCCTTACCCATAGAGTTGGAAAAGGTAAAGTGTTATCCCTCAAGTTGGGATATGAGTTTTATAGTAATTTTACTTAGAGTGGCTTCGAAATCGAGTTGCAGGTACACGATGTGTTTCACGTCTCGCAGCTCAAGAAGTATATACCAGATAGCTCACATGTGATTCAACCGGGAGAAGTATAAATGGATGAATATCTAACCTATGAAGAAAGACCGGTACGAATCCTCGACCATAAGACGAGAGACACAAGAAGGAAAAAGGTGAAACTAGTCAAAGTCTTGTGGTCCAACCAGTTATCAGATGAAGCCACTTGGGAGACTGAAGAGGATATGAGGAAACATTATCCGACTCTCTTTGATCAAGGTAAACCGTTAAGCTTTAAGGTTCAGTCAGTAAACCTTACTTAAAGTTGTTAGTTTAGAGTAGAGCTTTAGTTGTGGTAACTTGAAACTAAGTGATTCCTAAACCTCCAAAGTATTCGAGCCAACTCTTGAAATTTGAAAGCTTCCTATCCGTTTATTCTAAGTTTCGAGGACGAAACTCTCTTTAAGGAGGGTAGGATGTGACAACCCGAAATTTAATTTTCTAAATCCTGTTTTAAGAAATTCCAAAATAGCTATTTTTCACTCTTCCAAAATTTTTTATGATAAAAACGGTGTTTGAATAAATTATTTTGAGTTATGTTTTAAATGAGTTCAACACCGGGACTTATTTTATTTCTAAAATTCTAAATTCTCGGGTACATTGCGTACCAAGTTTCTGATCCAAAAATCAATCTGAGTGAAACCGGGAGAAATCTGAGAAACCTAAATCAAGTGTTTATCTAGAAATCATTTTTGGAAAAATCTATTTTGACCCCCAAACCATTTAGAACTATCTTTTAGACTATGGTCCATATTGCATGATGGACCACAAGAATCCATTTGTTATCTGATGCTTTATAGAATCAACTAAAATTATCATTTTGCCATCAACTAATCATAAGGGAATTTCCTAGGGTTTTGCACCCTATAAAACCCACCCTATCCCTTCATTGATTCCTTGATCTCATTCCCTTGCCTCTCTAAACCTTGTCTCATAGAAGAAAACATTCACAGTAAGTCATCCTTCACCTATCATCCCTTCACTTTGCTTCTTGAGTTATTTCTTTTCGCTTCCCGATCTCTGAGATTCATAGGCCTAGCTTTTGTGGTTGCTTGGGGTGTTTAGGTGGTGAAAGAAGTGGAGGATTTTGAGTGGAGAGGAGGCTGAGATCCACACAAGAAGAAGAGGCAACAAAGGTAAAACCCATGGACTCCCACCTCTTTACATAGAATCTGTGAATTCAAGTTTCTTTTGATGAAAATGTGTAGCAATGCTAGATTATTGATGTTGTTGAGCTATTAGTGATCTATTGTTGATCAATGATTGTGTTGTTGAGAATTTGGGAGTGTTGGTGTGACAACCCAAAATTTAATTTTATAAATCCGATTTTAAGAAATTCCAAAATAGCCATTTTTTATTCTATCAAAATTTTTGCGAAAAAATGGGTGTTTTAATAAATTATTTTGAGCCACTTTTAAATAAATTCAACACCAGGATTTATTTTAATTCTAAAAACCTAAATTCCCGGGTACATTGCGTACTAAGATTTTGAAACAAAAGTCAATCTGGGAGTTAAACCGGGAGAAACCTGAGAAACCTAAACTAAGTGGTTGTCTAGAAAGAATTTTTGGAAAAATATATTTTGACCCCAAAACTATTTAAAACTATAATTCTAGACCTTGGTCCATGTAGCTTGGTGAACCACAAAACTCCACCCTTTTTGGTCTGATATTTTTAGAACAACCACCAAATTACCATTTTGCCATCCACCAATCATGAGAGAATTTCCTAGGGTTTTGCACCCTTTATAAACTTCATTATCTCATTTACTCATTCCTGATCCTCTCTCTTTGCCTCCCTACCAAGTCTGAGCTTTCATTTACAAAAAGAAGCAAAATAATAGAAAGGTTCCTCACTTCATTTTCATCCATCCATTTCCATCATTTCCTTAAGGCTTCATCTCCTTTGCTTCCAATCTCTGAGATTGCTCCCTTAAGTTTGGTTGTGTGGTTTATTTAGGGAGTTTAGGTGTTGGAAGAGGTGTTGTCTAAGTTGAAGAGAAGGGGAGAACCACACAAGAAGATGAAATAACAAAGGTATAACCCCATAGACTCCCAGCTAAATTTTTGGCTCTGTGAAGCCTTTGTGAAATAGCTAGAAATGTGTAGAAATGCTAGAATGTTGTGTGTTTGAGCTATTGGATGTCTTGTTGAGGTTGTATGATGTGTTTTTGTTGATTTGGAGGTGGTTTATTGTCTGGTTTGACCTTGCAGATGAAGAAGGAACCAGTGGTGCACCTCTTAGTGTGCACCAGTAGAAGTCACGGGCCTAGCCAACGGCCCACGAGGGGAGCCATTGGCTAGAGTCGTGGCAAGACGGCCCTAGGCCGCCGCAGGACAGCTCCAGGCGGCGGAGCTTCCCTAACCCCGCCGTTAGGACCGTTGTTGGCTACCTGTGTAGTGGTCGAGCCCTTGTGGCTCAGCTACGTGTCGTTTCGGACCGGGTGTCACGGGCCCTTGTGGTTCGGTACCTTGGGGTCGTCATGACACACATTTGGCCTTTGATTTTGTTGAATTTGGATTAGAAATGAGCATGTTATGATAGAAATTGTGATGAAATGATTTACAATAATGTTGTTATGAGTTCATCAGACTTGCACTGCCTATGGGATTTGCTTGTTATTATCTTTCTGATGCTGTTTGAGTATTAAATAGAGAAGCATGAACATTTTGTGAATGAGAGTTGTTAGAAAAGCATTACTAGAGTGCGTATTATGTTCAATGGAAATTGTAGTCTGTTTTGATAGTAGAAATGTACAGAGTATGTTATTTTTCAATCCAAGCATGATTGTGTGTACTTTGAAAGTTCTCAGTGATATATAGAATTGGAGCATGTGTACCGTAAATCAGAATCCAAGTATATCATGTTTTATAAGTGCATAAAGGGCCAACGTGAGCCTAAGTATTATTTTCCAAAATTCATGAGCATGTGGCATGTTGTAATTTTGCATTTTCTCTTTTTAAACAGATTAACTGGATTAATCGACTGACTAAATGGACTGATTGATTCAGTGATGAATTCAATCAGGAACAGAAAATCATAGTGAAGATTAAAGAAAAGATAACACCACAAAGCCAATAACACAAAATGTTTACCCAGTTCGATACAGTGTGTATCTACGTCTGGGGGACGATCACATAGGCGTCCAATCCACTAAATCATAATCTGATGTACAAAGGTAGATATACAATAATCTTACCCAAGTGCCCCACACAAGGTACATACCCAGTCTACACAGGTTTAGTGGATTGTTGAAGATGGAGAGCCATGCATACAGAAGTCCAATGAAATCCCTTCACTTGGAGAGCCCACACTAATGCAGTCCACTTCAATGACGCTCTTTACAGTTGTTCCCACAACAGTGTGATCACAGTGTCCTTTCGTTTAAGCAGCAGTGATTCTTCTCAAGTTCGTCATCTTAATCATCATGAACATGTTGTATTGAGAAGACGCCTGATAATCAAAGATCTGATCTCATCAAACTGATGTGAAGTATTTTTCTTCTTTCTCAAAGTCGTAACCCTAATTCTCTTCGAATGAGGATACTTATAGTTCCGTCAAAAGAACACTCCTTCCATAGATGTCTTTGATTGTAGATGGTAGGACGATATTTGAAGAATGTAATCTTAAGGATTCGGTCCATACCTTTCCAAAGCAGATACGCTGATCTTCTTTCCAAATCTGACTTCTGTAAAACCGCGTACAGCATTTAGGAAAACAACTTCCTAAAACAGATCTTCAGTGTCAGTCCTTCTGTTGTTGAATCTGGTTGATCAGTCCTCTGTGGAACAAAACAGACACTGAACTAATCCTATCTTAGTATGTCATAATAATATTGCCAATTATAAGTTGGGGTTTTTGAACAATTAAAACACTAACACATGTCAATACCTTGTTGGAGCACCCGTTGGGACTATGTCCGATATGAGATATATATATTATCTATCCATATAAGTGAGGTTTTGGAGCACCCGTTGGGACTATGTCCGATATGATTCGTGTCAAAACATCATCTTTTTCCACTCCGTTCTGTGCTAAAAACTCAGCCAGGAGGCTTCGCGTTATGGATGGTTCTTCACGAAGTGTTTTGGATGTGTTTTGGGTGAAAGGGACGTGGCTCTTGGAAGGCTAAAAACTTAATGTATTTTAGGATTTTCTTTTGGATAGAAGCTTCGCATCACATGAAGGAAAATAGAAGCTTACATACACACAATCACAGCATGCACTTCACAGCTTCTAGAGGTAACTCTATGTAACACAAGAGTTGGAAGTAAGCAAAAGCTAACTCAATTGTCTCATTCATAATCTGTCCCTCAAAGTAGACATAGAGGGGTTTAAATACACTTATTCAAGCAAGGAAAACCACACAATTCAGCCCCACAAGGAGAGAAATTCTTCTTAGTGGTTGTATGATCATATATTTGTGTTTGACTTAGTGTTCTTATAACTACAAGAAAACTATGCCTTCTCAAACTTGTCCTAGCCTATCTATTTGTGTTGGAAGTCTAAAATTCAGAAAATAACTTATGCTAAAATAATTACATATGAACTTAGCCTAACATAAGTTATAAATAATGAGATGATGTCTCATTTATACGGTCATTGGTGATGCTATCATTAGCCTTCTTTAAGTGTAATAATATGGTAGTATTGGCCTTCTCCTTTGCTGGTCATACTTTCTCCTCCATTCTCCTTTGTAGAGGAATAAATTTTGTTACATTCAATCTTCTCTGTCCACGCACAAATAGCCTCACGTACCCTTGCAATCCGAGCTCTTGTCTTCAATTGGATAGAGAGTTGAAGATCTCGTGCATGCGGCGAGTTATCTCCCACTGTATCAGTCTCAGGATTGGAGGGTGCAGTCACCGGTGTAACATCACAGATATGTTCTCCAATCAACAGACGCTGGTCTACCATGTAGAGAAGGGTCGGACTGATCACCTCACTCGTCATAGGCTCAAGGCCCTGTGATGTAAGAATTCCAAAGATCAAATTAGGAAAGGGCAGTCGTACCTTTTGTTCTCTCGGGTGAATCAGAGTGAGAATATGAGAATAGATCCACGACCCAAGGTCAAAGGACATCTTGGTTCCAATTCTGAATAAGAGACTGGCCAGTGGCTTGCCGACAGTGTGGAAATGTGCTGAAGGGAGCCAGTTATGCAGAGCAAGACGATGAAGAATCACATATTTTGAGGTGAGCTGAGAGCTAGGTAGAGTATCCTTATCACCAGCAGGCCATCTGTCAGCTTGTCCACCTGTGACTATTTTGGCCACTGCATCTCAGTCAGTGATAGCCTCCTCTTGGACTCCTTGTAGGCCATAGTATTCGTTAATCATGTCAGGGCCAAACACATACCATTTCCCTCGAATGAAAATTTGCAGTGGATGCTCTCCAGACAAATTGTCCATCTCCTCATTGAGATTACAGTAAAATTCGTATGTGAGCAGCTTGGAATAAGGACAGATGGCAGTGACAGTCTTCAGAAGACCCACTTCTCTCAGCAAGGGCAGAACATCGCAGACAGAATTCATCTGGTTTTCATCAACCGATCTTTGAACAATCAGTTCTCTTCGGACCATTGTGGACCACTTGGCTTGAGCAGAAGGAGAAACAAATTGAGGTCTGTAAATGGATGTGTCAGAGCTTTCAGCAGCTTGAACCTCAGGTGTAATGCTCCGACCTCTGACACGGGTAGCAGGTTTCACTTTTCTGGTGGAAGATGCGGGGACAACAGGTGGTTGAGCAGCAACAGAACCCTTTTGCTTAACAGAAGAGCGTAGAGTCTTGAAAACTTGTTAGATAGGTGGATTAGATTCAGATTTGACTGTTTCACTAGACTTCCATTTCTTCTCAGGCTGATCTGTGTCAGCATTGTCATCACCTATCTCAGCAATAACTTTTACAGGAACATTCTTCCTCCTAGACCTTCTTGTTTCTTTGGTTGGGGATTGAACAAGAGTCACAGAATGACTGGAGTCAGATACTTGAGCAGAAGAGCCATCAAGCAGATTAGTAACCTCTCGTATTTTAAATTTTGTGGAGTCAGGATGAGCAGTGGCCTCAATGGTTGGAATGTCAGATGGAGGTGCTTAAGACCCATAAACTTCAGCCAGAATCTTATCATCTTCGCTGGAGGATTCAGATGGGTGAATCACTCGATACGGTTGAGGAATCGAAGCAGACGGTAGTCCAGCAAAATGTCGCACATGCTCCAGACTTTCACCTAACGATGTGGCAGTGTAGAGTGGGATTCCACCTGTTTTCTCAAACTTATGGGGGCTTGAGAGGTCAACAGACTCAACATTAGTAGGTAAATTAGAAGGAGCATCAGCAGGGCAAATTTCTTTGGGATCAACAGCAATCTCAGTAGATGGCAGAACAATATTATCAGAAGAGAATACAATTAGACTCAGATTATTGGGCTCATCAGATAATTTTTCTTTTTCATCAGACACATGCAAGACATCATTTTTCACACAATCAGACTCACTTAACGGCAGGGATGAAGGATCAACATTCATAGGGGGTTTCTCAGAGATTAAAGTAGATAAGCTTTCAGTATTAACAGGCACACAAGACGGAGTAGCAGAATCATCAAGATTATCCGGTGAAATTTCAATAGGAGAATCAGAATTGTTTGACCTGTTTCGAAGGATCTCAAGTCTGTGTCTTGTCTCTTTTTCAGTAGCTTCGAGATACAGGGGCTGCGACTCTGCTTGCCGTCGAGAGACCTCAGCAGATTCTAGGGCTCGTTGTGCAAAATGTCGAAGAAATGCCCCGGCCCGATTTCCATCCGAGGGTTCTGGAATAGATATTGGAGAAACCTCATCACTAGCTTCAGAAACCATCATCAGCAGTTCAGTTGCATCTTCTTCAGACCAATTAGCATAAAACTCTGGGTAGTTTGTCAAAACAGTCACCAATATCTCATCACGAAGCAGAGGATCAAGCTTGAGTTTCTTCTTCATGGCAAACTGTAATAGCGTCTGGATATGCTTAAAAGCCACTTCTGGAGAATGTGTCTTGCTTCCGAGTTTGATGATGATATTTCTTACTGGATCCGCCATTGGAGATTTTTGTGAGAGGAGAAGAACAAATCAAGGGAGGCAAGGATGCAGAGAGAGAGGAAGACTGAGTGCTGAGGTACTCGTAGATATTTTTCTTCTTGGCCCGATAACAAATAAACTTAAGGGTGATGAACCCTAATTAATGTGGCTAGTCAAATAGAATGCAGACGCGATTGATTGACCCAACGGTACAGCTTCTTTTCAGGAAGGAAACGGAACCCAAGGAAATTTGAATTTCAAAAAAGATTAGAATCTTTAAGATATCTTTAATATATATTAGGTTATAGAATCCACTTAACATAATAGAGAGGAGTCTTAAAAAGGAAGACAAATCATAATTCTGACCCGTATACGGAAACCTTCACTCCTCTCTGACTGACCAACTGCTTTATTAGTCAATTCTGCAAATTCCCAGAGCAGACCTGAGAATTTCACAATGATTTGCATCTAGAGGCTTAGTCAGAATATCCGCCAGTTGTTTGTCAGTTTGAATATATTCCAATTCAATCTCCTTGGATTCAACCAGGTCTCTGATGTAATGATGTCTGATATCAATATGCTTCATTCTGGAATGTTGAACTGGATTCTTTGAAATATTAATAGCACTGACATTGGCACAATAGAGTGTCATAATCCCTTGAGTAAGACCATAATCCAGCAACATCTGTTTCATCCATACCAACTGAGTACAACATCCACCAGCAGCTATGTATTCTGCCTCTGCAGTGCTTAATGAAATTGAATTCTTTTTCTTACTTAACCACGATACCAAGTTCTTACGAATAAAGAAGCATCCTCCAGATGTACTTTTTCGATCATCATTGTTTCCTGCCCAATCAGCATCACAGTACGCGACAGGACTCAGTTCACTGTCCTTAGAGTACCAGAGTCCATACTGCATCGTTCCCTTTACATATTTCAGAATGTGTTTTGCAGCTATCAGGTGTGATTCCTTTGGATCTGATTGATACCTTGCACAGATTCCAACACTGAACATTATGTTTGGTCGACTGGCGGTTAGATACAACAGACTGCCTATCAGGCTTCGATAGACTGTGTTATCCACTGATACACCGATTTCATCTTTTGATACTTTTGTGGAGGTAGAGATTGGTGTCCTGGATGGTTTACATGATTCCAGATCAAACTTCTTGACTAGATTTTTAGCATACTTTTCTTGTGAGATAAAGTATCCTTCAGGGCTTTGCTTGACTTGTAGTCCTAGAAAGTACGTCAGTTGACCAACCATGGACATTTCAAATTCTTCCTTCATGACTTTTACTAACTCGTCAGTGTATCTCTGTAAAGTTGACCCAAACACAATGTCATCAACATAGATTTGGGCAATGGTTACATGACTTCCAGTAGTCTTCACAAACAAGGTTTTGTCGACACTTCCTCGTTTATAACCATGCTGTAGCAGATACTGTGTCAGTCGTTCATACCATGCCCGTGGGGCTTGTTTGAGACCATAGAGAGCTTTTTGAAGCTTATAGACATGTGATGGATGGTTTGGATCTTCAAACCCTTTAGGTTGAGCCACATAGATATCTTCGTGCAGATAGCCATTCAGGAATGCTGTCTTAACATCCATCTGAAACAGTGTGAATCCCAAAATACATGCGACAGCCAACAGAATCCTGATTGACTCGAGTCTTGCTATAGGAGCGAATGTCTCATCATAGTCAACCCCTTCGATCTGAGTATACCCTTGAGCCACTAGCCGAGCTTTGTTCCTGGCTACATTCCCAGCTTCATCAGTTTTATTTTTGAAAATCCACTTTGTTCCAATTATGTTGACACCGTCAGGTCTTGAAACTAGATCCCAAACATGATTCCGATCAAACTGATGTAGCTCTTCCTGCATTGCCTTGATCCATAGATCATCCTGTAAGGCTTCTTTAACATTCCTGGGTTCTATCTTTGAGGTATAGCAAGCAGACCCAGATATTTCTATCGAATTATTTCTTATTCTGCTCCTGGTCTTCATCCCATCTGTTGGATCTCCAATGATGTTATCTGATGGATGATTTTTCTGAGTTCTGGTGGGTTTGTCTTTCCCTGTATCATTTATGGGATTGGTCTCTCGTTCCGAACTTTCTTGTTCTTCATCTGAGGATTCTTGTGCTTTTGGCTGACTGTTGCTATCTGCAGTATTTGGTTCACTGAGAGGAAGCTTTGTCATTGAATCTATCACTGTTGTGTCTACTGATTCTTCTGGACTGTCATCTATAACCACATTTACTGATTCCATCACAGATTGAGTTCTCTTGTTGTAGACTCTGTAGGCACGACTATTTGGAGAGTATCCAAGGAAGATGCTCTCATCACTCTTAGGGGCCGTTTGGTTCACGGAATGTTAGATTACCTTAGGGAATGTTAGATTGCTGGGAATGTTAGATTGCTGGGAATGTTAGATTACTGGAAATGTTAGAATGCTGTGTTTGGTTAAGATTGAGGTATATAATATAATCATGTTTGGTTTAAGGTTATCTTTATATATATATATATATATATATATATATATATATATATATATATATATATATATATATAATTAGAATGAAAATAGCAAAATTTATAAATATCCAAGGTTATCTCACATTACCTAAGAAAATGAAGGGAATCACATTCCCTTCAAAATCCTATGTGGAGGGAATGTTCCATTCCCTAGGAATGTTATATTCCCTCAAATAGTATGAACCAAACATAGGAATCTAAACTCAGGAATGTCACATTCCCATGGTTATGTAATATAACCTGAACCAAACGCCCCCTTAGGTTCAAACTTCCCTCTTTGTCCTCTATCAGCCAGCACATAACACTTTGTCCCGAACAAATGAAAGTATTTCAGGTTGGGCTTCTTTCCCTTCCAGATCTCATATAGTGTTTTGGTCGTTCCTGGTCTAAGATAGACTCTATTTACAGTATGACAGGCTGTGTGTACTGCTTCAGCCCAGAAGCGCTGCGGCAGATGAGAGGCATGTAGCATAACTCTAGCCATTTCTTGTAATGTTCAATTCTTTCTTTCCACCACACGATTCTGTTGAGCTGTTCTGGGAGCTGAGAACTCATGTGATATACCGTGTTCGGAGCAGAAATCTGAATATAGTGAATTCTCAAATTCTTTTCCATGATCACTCCTCAGTCTCTAAACTTTTATTATAGACTCATTCTTTTCCTTCTGAACCCTTATGCACAGAGTTTTAAAGGCCTTGAAGGCTTCTGATTTTTCTCTTAGAAAGTATACCCAGCTGTATCGTGAGAAATCATCTACACATACAAATATGTATTTCTTTCCCCCAATGCTTTCAGTCTGCGTTGGCCCCATGAGGTCTATGTGAACGAGATCTAGACACTTCTCAGTGGTGATGCCTCTTACTGCTTTGTGCGGAGTTCTGGTTTGTTTCCCAATAGCACAAGCACCACAGACTTTATCCAGATCTATTCTGATCTTAGGTACACCTTTCACAGCTTCCAGTTTTATCAGCTTATCCATATCTCTGAAGTTTACGTGACCCAGTCGTCTATGCCAAAGTTTTGATTCATCATATTTGGATAGATGACATGCAGTTTCATTTGCCAAAACATAACAGTTGTCTGAGGACCGGTTTCCTTCCATGACAAGTTGATTTGCTTTGTCACTAACTCTGCAGCAGTTACGATCGAAGCACACATTCCAATTTTGATCACACAACTGACTGATGCTAATTAGATTAGCTTTCAACCCACTGACTAACAGAACTTCTTCTAATTGAGGTAGACCTGGTACATTCAGGGTACCTTTTCCAATAATTTTCCCTTTTTGTCCATCTCCATATGTTACAGCTCCACTGCTAGGTTGAACCGCCATCAGACACTTTACATTTCCTGTCATATGTCTGGAACAGCCACTGTCGAAATACCATCTAGCTTCAGTTGTAGATGCAGTCAGAACTATAGTGGGGTAGCATATAACTTCTGACTTTCTGACCCAAACTTGTCTAGTGAATAGTTTAATAGTCTTGTTCTGATATTTTTCCTTCCTTTGGTCTCTGTAGAAAAAAAAAACATTCAGGCCGAGTATGACCTTTTGTTTGGCAGTAGTGACAGATGGGAGTGTACTGTCTAACTTTGACAAGCTTATTTTTTAACCTTGCATAATGAGATTGATGCTTTACTTTGGCAAGGTCAGTATCTGCAGTCTGATCATATCTTCTTCTATTGTCAATTTTCTGCACTGAACGAGATGACTCTCCTTGTTGTTCAAAGCTGTGAACTGCTATGGTCTTTAACACACCTTCTTTGACAAACCTAGGTGCATTATTCAAAGATTCACCCCGTTCAAATCCTAGGCCTTTTTTGTCATTAGGATTTCTGCCAGAGTCTAGAATCTTGTCTAAGGTTTATGTGGGGTCCATCATCTGGATATTTTTCTTCAGACCCTCCAGTTCCTTTATCAGTTTTCCTTCTCTGGATCTTATCTGAGTGATGAGATCTTCTTTTATGACAAGATCTGTATTCAGTTTCTTTAGAAGATCATCCATTTGCTTCAGTTCATCATTTAGATTTTTATTGACTTTCACTAGTTGTTCCCAGCTTGCAACAAGTTTAGCAAATTCTATTTCAAGTTGAGTATGTCTCTCTTCAAAATCATCAGTTGATATGTAAGATTCTTCATCTAATTGGTTTCCGTCTAACTGAATGTCTGTAGCTGTAAAGAAGGCTACAAAGTTTCCCACATTATCATCTGACTGATCATTGGATGTTTCCTCCTCATCATCGCTTAATGTAGCTACTGACATAGCCTTTTTCCTCTTGAGATACGTTGCACATTCAGCCTGTATGTGACCATACCCTTCACATTCTCTACACTGCACTGATCGGTTGAGGGACTTCCCTGTATCTGTGGAACTATTTCTGTTCTGTCTTGTTCGACCAGTCTGAGATTGATTGTTCTGTGAAAAAGGCGTTATTTCGGCTTTCTGATATGAGGAGTTATTGCCTTTGTATTGCGTTCT